CAGCATCCTCACAGGTAAGCCTGAGCATCTACAAAATCACATGCAAACACTGTGAAAATGTAAGGGACTGTTGTTCATATTACTGATTGATTGATTGATTGATTGATTGAGAGAAATAAACCATCAGGAGGCAGTAGAGGAGAAAAGAAACAATTGTCTGTGCTCAACGCCCAACTGTGCAAGCACACACACACACACACACACACACACACACACACACAAAGGTGCTTAGATATAGAGTAAAATCTATATCTAAGGCCAGACACTAGAGAGGTGTGTATGTGTGTGTGGGGTGTATGTGGGGGTGTGTGTATGGGGGGGTGGTCACTCTAAACTAACACCTGTGATATTCAGCACTTGGGGCACCCAAGCAGTCACCTAACAGCCTTAGAAATGTGAACACTGTGCTACAAAGGAAGGTACCTGAGTGCCTGAGGAGTTGTTACAGGATGGACTGTGTCCTCCAAATGAAAAATGTTGAAGCTCTAACTCCCATGAATCACATCTGTAAGCAGGGATGGATGCAACTAGTTAAGATGCAGTCAGGCTGGAATAAGATGGGCCCCTCACCCATGGGACCAGAGTCCACATGAAGGCAGAGACATGCTGGAGGAATAGCATGGCACCACAAAAGTAGAGACTACTGCCGTGCTACTGCAAGCCAAGAAACACTACGGACTGCCAGCTAACCTCCAGCAGCCAGGAAGACATAAAGGGAGGAGGAGCTTCAGAGAGAGAGGGAAGCCTACTACATCTTATTCCCAATTTTTTATCATTTTTTTATTTTAAAACGATCTCTTCTCATTTTACATACCAATCCCTGTTCCCACTCCTCTCCCCCAACCCCACCCCCCTATCCACTCCTCAGAAAGGGTAAGGCTTTTCATGGAGAGTCAAGGAAGTCTGGCATATCACTTTGAGGCAGGACCAAGCCCCCCCCCCCTTATCTAGGCTGAGCAAGGTATCCCTCCAAGGAGAACGGGCTCCAGAAAGCCAGTTCGAGCACTAGGGATAAATCCTGGTCCCACTGCCAGTGGCCCCACAGACTGCCCAAGCCACACAACTGTCACCCACATTCAGCGGCCTAGTTTGGTCCATGCAGTCAGCCTTTAGTCAGTGAACTCACACTCGCTGTTTCTGTGGGTTTCCCCAAAATGGTCTTTAGCCCTTTGCTCATGTTATCACTCATCCCTTTCTTCTACTGGACTCTGGGAGCTCTGCCCCGTGCTTTGCTGTGGATCTGCTTCCTTCAGTTGCTGGATGAAGGTTCTATGATGACAACTCAGGTATTCACTAATCTGATTACAGGGGAAGGCCAGTTAAGGCACCCTCTCTACTAATGCTTAAGGTCTTAGTTAGGGTCATCCTTGTGGATTCCTGGGGATTCACCTAGTGCCAGGTTTCTCACTAACCCCATAATGACTCCCCCAATCAAGATACTCTCTTTTCTTGCTCTCCCTCTTTGTCCTTCCCCTAATTCAACCTTTCTTTTCCCTCATGTTTGCCTCTTTCCTCCCCTTATCCCTCATTCCCAATTTCTAACCTTCAGATAAAGAGTGAATCCATGTTGCTGTGTTACAGCAAACCCACGAATGTATTACAGATGCACCAAGCTGGCCCCAAGAGCTTGGTGCAATGGAGTCAAGTCAGGCTTCTAAGGGATCTTACCACACCCAGTGATCTGTCCAGGGCTATTGAAGTGTTGGAGCCACTCCTGCCTCTCCAATCACCACAAACTTGATACACCCAATACACCCATCACCACCAAGGCAGGTCCTGGATAATGAAGGCATATAGCTTGCAGCAATCCTAGCCAGGGAAGTTTTGAGACCTGGGGTCTCAGGGCTGGAAGTGTAACTCAGTGGTAGAGCATTTGCCTAGCACACACAAAGTCCTGGGCTTACACCCCAGTATCAGTGGGGATAAAAAGGATCTTGGTCTTTGGTGGCATTATTGCTCTCTGCCAAATCACACATTCTAGACCTACCAACATCTGTTCCCATCATATGAAAACAGTTTTCTATTGTCTAAATTATTTTTCTCATGGCAATCTAAAACATATTTTCCATATTGAGGTTTTCTGGGTTTTGTTTTGTTTCCTCTTTACCTCTTAGGATTATCTTCTCTTGACCACAGTAGGCTACTTATGTATTTAGTTTGTACTGATCTTGACATTCAGATGGTCCCTTTTACGACGCCCGGCAATTTATTTCCCCAGCAGTATTGTTTCAAAGTGTGAGCAGCGTGTATATTCTTCCCTCCCCCACATTCCTGGGTTGATACCACTCCACCAGCGTTTTCTATATCTGTAGTGCTCCTCGACCATAGTGAGAAGAAAGACATTTGATTGTGGTATGGTCACATTCCGTTAGCTACCTGGTGTGTAGGATAGGCTATTTGAATTAAATATCACAGTTTCTCAAACTGGTGTCATAGAATGGAGGGAAACAATGGCTTCATTTCTCAGAAATAAAATCAAGGATCTTATTTTAAAGACGAGTCTAGGCTGTCTGCACGTCTTTCTCCACTGGCCTTGTTAGCACAGGTACTGTTGCTGCACTTCATCTAAACCTACTTACAGGAACTGAAGGGAAAGCACATACAATCGATATCATATTCAGGCTTCACATGAACACAATGCCAATTCGAACCGTTGCTGATTATACTTTCCAAACACAGCATTTGACGCAAAGCACTGTTCACAGTGGAAAGCGCTGATCTGACCATGGGATGTTGTTCCCGTGGGTACATGTGAAGGGTCATGGAGAACAGTGAGGCTTGGCTGCAAAAGGTGATGCTCTGTTTCAAAAATTAAAGTGTGAAGATGATACAGGCTAAAAACCGCAAGCTGGGACCCAGCAGGCATCCTAAGAGAACCCCGCGTTGGGGCCAGCAGAAAGGATCCACTTCCTGGACTTCCCACCTGTCTGACTAGATGGGAAGACACTGGATTTCCCTGCTGAGAAGGGAGCCATGGCCAGGAGTTCTGGGAAACAGAAGTTCACCATGGGCCTCCTTGCTGCCCCTTACAGAAAGATTCCTCATGCTTTACTCAACCCAAGTGAAGGTGGGAAGCCACAAGCATCTGATGCGAGCAGAGCCTGGGGAGGGGCTCTTTTCATCCTGTCCTATGGTGCTGAGAGTAGAACAGAAATGCCATCTTCCACATTTGTCACCCAATATGCTGGATGACTTTGGTTAGGCTTCCCTTTCGGGACAGATCGACTGAAACCTAAAGAGGAATTTGCCAATTCCAGTAGCTTTGGCGCCTCCCTCGAACTGTACTCCATTTTTCTCATTCCCGTGGCTTCATCGCCAGCACCTTCATTTATCCAGCAAATACCCTTGGAGCACCTACTCTGGGCCAGCAGAGAGTGGAGAGTTTAGCTAGCATCCATGTCCCCACCAAAGCTTCAAGTCCTGCCCGCCACTGTGCAGAGGTGAAGGTGAGCTAATGGCAGGCGGGGCTGAGGAAGGTGCAGTGATATAAGTAAGAGCCCCAGTGTGGGTCGGGGATGAGGGAGGGAATCTGTCACTCACTACTGTTGGAGAATTAAAAAGTGAGCTGGGGAAAGAAATTGAAAATGAGCCTGGAGAGATTAAAAAGAGCTGAGGATGTGATAGGAGGGCTCTGCTCAGCATCCAAAGGAACAATGTCCTCATCCTCCCCTGTGGGGTTCACAAGGTCCTTCATTTTTACTTCAGTGAGTGTATTGCCATGAATATGGACATCCCAGATCATCTGGGTGACTATTTGCCATATAACTTTAGTCACATTCATTGACGTGAAGTTGTGCCCAGCTTGCACAAAGCAGCAGGTAGAAGACAGAGGGGGTGCTTGCAAAGAGAGATCTGTCTGAACATAGCTAAGTTAGGGAGAGAGGCTAAGTCAACACATGGTACCTGGTGATAGGAAGGCCAGACTCAAAGAATCCACACTTGTGTGCTGAGACACAACACAATCACACTGCAAAACACAAATGTCACCTAAAACAATGGCATCTGTCTTGTTAGACTGCTGATTTAAGGCTTTGTGACTTTTAAATATTTTCTACGTATCTGTAAATATATGATGAAAAGTTTGGATCTGGATTCATACATTTTAACCTATTTAAGAAACACAGTAAGTAAGTATTGCAATCTGCCAGCTTTTTCTTTATGTTCAAAGTAGGTCTATCCATTACCCAAATAAAAACTGGAAGGCCCTAAGTGGTAGGTAACACTGAAGAAAACTGAGCAGAGATTGGTGTGAGCTACCTGCTGTCTTAGGAGACCACGTGGACTGTCATACAGAAAACTGGCCATGTAGACAGGCAGGAGTTGGAAAGTCATTGGGGGGGGGGACGACTGACCGCCTGTGTCCTCGGATTTAAAGAATCCATTTGCTTCTTTCAGCTGAAGGTCGGAGTGCTTGGCAATGAAATGCTGACCTGACAAACTGCACGGGTGACTCACATACGCCTTACCCAGCCCGAGACTTCCCTACTTCTGCATGCCACATCTCCATATTGAGGGCAGAACTAAATTAGCACCAAATCCTGTTCTTCTGCAGAAAGCTCACAATGTACACAAGAGAAGTTGCTATGTCTGTGGTAGAAGCAGCCAAGGAACACTGCATGTAGCTCTGCAGGCTGCTTGGAGCTAAAATGAGGCTCGACACCAAGCCATGGGTTGTGGGCTGCATTTATCTAGGAAAAGGTGGTTGTTTCTACTGTAGACAAAGGCTAGATGGACTTGTCAAGTCAAACCTTTGTAGAACTGGCCTCTCCCAGAGGGTCACCTTTTCCTAATGGCATGAAGACACCCTGTGGGCTGGCTGTGATGTAATCCTGATTCTCTGAGACTGTCTTATTAGCATCCCTCACCCACTAGGATTTTAGAGTTCTAATAGAATAAAGGATTTTCTTCCTGAAAATTGTAAAGAGCACAAGTTCTGCCTATAAAAAGGCACAGCAGCAAGTTACTTGACAAGTGCAAAGAGCTAGATAGTTCCCACTTACCTCAGGAGCCATCCAGAATGGGGTCCCAACTGATGTGTTTCTCCGAAGGCGTGTGCTGGTAAGTTGAGCAGAGACACCTATGGGGAAAGGGCATTTTTTTTAGGTTTGAGCAGTCATTAGGAATATAAAAATCAAACTAAGCATGGTAGCACATGTCTGCAATCTCAGGACTTGGGATCCTGCTGAAGAAGAAGGATCAAGAGTTCAAGTCCAGCCATGGCTACATAGTGAGCCTGAGGCCAGTCTGAGCTCTATAACAAGATTTGGTCTCAAGTTACATTGACTCTCTCTCTCTCTCTCTCTCTCTCTCTCTCTCTCTCTCTCTCTCTGTGTGTGTGTGTGTGTGTGTGTGTGTGTGTGTGTGTACATTTACACAATTCTTAGGCCATGGCTGCATTAAAATAGAAGTTGGGGCATATTTGTCCATGAGCAGTACTTTGCCAACCCATGAATGAAGTTTTAGTCATTCTGTCTAAATCATCAGAACCCATGTTTCCTAATGCACATTCCTGTCCATATCACTGCAACTTTGGAACATAAAGAAAAATATCAACAACTATGGTCAACCCAAAATATCTCACTATTATGTTTCCCAATTATTTCAGACTATTTCTTTAATAAATGCTTCATTTTTGGGGGGGAGGAGGAAAATTCGCAAGCATTATCTATAATAGTGTATCAATGTAGACACAAAGAGATTCCAGGCCTTATCTAGCCTACAAGACTAGAAACTTGGCAAGAAAGCAATGCTTCTCAAATGGAAAAGGGAATTGACAGCATTGTTATATAAAGCTCAGTGTTGAAGGCCTGAATTTTAATATTATTCCAATGTCCTTTCATGTCCTCTCTTCTCTGCACCATCAAATTAAGTGGAAGTAAATGTAGCCTGGATTAAGGGTCTGGAAACTGACCTTCCAGGTCAATTATGTTTTTACTAGTGTTGTGACTGCCTCATCATTGAGCCTCTGTTTTCCCATCTTCAAACAAGGATAATGGCAACAATCACACCTAACATCTGCTCTTCTAATACCAAATGTGAGAATAATCATGTCATGTACTAAACACAAGTCTAGAAAACGAGCAATGGGAGCTGGAGAGATGGCTTAGAGGTTAAGAGCACTGGCTTCTCTTCCTGAGGTCCTGAGTTCAGTTCCCTGCAACTATATGGTGGCTCACAACCATCTGAGATCTGGTGCCCTCTTCTGACCTGAAGGCATACATGCAGACAGAAGAGTGTATACAGAAGAAATAAATCTTCAAAAAAAAAAAAAAAAAGAAAGAAAGAAAGAAAGAAAGAAAGAAAGAAAAGGGAAGGAAGAAAGACAGACAGACAGAAAGAAAGACATAAAGGAAGGAAGGAAGGAAGGAATGAAGGAAGGAAGGAAGGAAGGAAGGAAGGAAGGAAGGAAGAAAATGAGCAATGTTGGCACTGTTGCAAATGAAGACAAGAACTCAAGTCTAAATGCAGTATGCTTTTATCAATGGACACACCCCAGAGACTGTGAGTCCTGGATGATGTTCAGAGGACCCCAGACTGGTTTGGGGATTTGCCATTTATATTCTCTCTATTAAAGAGCCTGCAAGGGCTGCCATCTCCCAGACCTCACACTTGAGATAAGACTCTGCTATGTTGTTCAGGCCAGTCCCAAACTCCCAGACTCAAGTGAGTCTCCCACCTCAGATTTCCCAGTAGCTGGGACTATATGCAAGTCACAGTGCCCCAGATAACCCCCACTTTGCCAAGTCCTCCATAACAATATAGTAAACAGACAATTACACATTTCTAGCTTTAATTTCTAGAAATTTCTTATGGCAACTTGATCTTCAGGAACTTTTTACTGGAAAGATTAAGAACATTTCCTCTCTCGAAGCTTACAAAGCTGGCATGTAGATAAATTGGTTTTAAATCTTATTCTCATCCTTCTAGGCTATCTCCCTTCTGGCATATTAAATGACCCAGGGTCATGTGGAAAATACATTGTCCTACAGCATTGCTATAGTTCTAGCATTCCTCCAATTTACAGAGGAACACAGCCTCAGACAACTGGCTTCCTCTGCCCTTTTTCTTGGTTTGCCTCTTAAAACACAGACCAGCACACATACTAAAGCAACTTCATTTTTAATGTATTTGTAAATGAATTTTATGTATGTCAGTGTTTTGTCTGTATGTATGTACATGCGCCACATGCATGTGGAGACTGAGTAGGCCAGAAGAACGTGTAGTGTCCTGTGGGACTAGAGTTACAGACAGATGTGAGTCTCCAGATGGGTTCCAGGAGCAACAGATGCTCTTAATGACTGACCACCTTCCCAGCCCCCAACTTCATTCATTCTTAAATTACTTCTTCCCCACAAATAATTTACAGACATATTCTTCTTTTTTAACCTTTTTAAATAATTTATTTTCTTATTTTTATTACATGTGCATTGATTTTTGCCTGCATGTATGTGTGAGAGTGTGCTATCTCCTGGAGCTAGAGTTTCAGACAGTTGTGAACTGCCGTGTGGGTGCTGGTAATTGAACATGGATCCTCTGAAAGAGCAGGTAGTGCTCTTTACCTCTGAGCCATCTCTTACACCAAATTATTTCCTGCGGTAAAATAATGAATATTTTAAAAACCCACCAATTTTTTTTTTTTTTTACCAATTTTGACATTAGTAACATTTTGAAGTGTTCTAAATGGTTTCTCAGTATTTGTAACCAACCTTGAACTTATTTAGAAGAGTAAACCACTGCCAAAACAAAGGAAAACTAAATGGCTTGTTGGTTTAGGACTATCGAAACAGAATGTTGGGGAAGAGTCAACATTCTCTGGCCTCTGATGACAGCATCTACACTTCCCATGAATGTTTTCAGGTCAACACGCCTCAAGTGTGGAGGCAGTAGTCAGAATTTCACATCTCCCAGGCCCAGAGGACCAATTTACCTTCTGTGCACTGCAAATAAGTATGCCCAAGGCTAGAGAAAGTCATTTTAAAAATCAAACTGCTTTCCCTTTTCATATGCAAAAGAGAGATGAAAAATGTAAATTACAGACAATTGCCCTGAGGTGGGAAACTTTCACAGAAAACAAAAAACAAACAAAGCCAAAATACCATTTTCTGTAAAGCTTTCCTTTGCAACACTTTTACTTTCTATTTTTAATAACATTGCTTCGAAAGCTGAAAATAATTAGCAAAGAGCATCTCCGAGGGCGATCCATCTGGAAAGCCCCCTACTCTCCAGCCTGTTTGCCTGCAAAGCCCCTGAGCCTGTGGTGCAGCAGAGAGGCCCCAGTCTTCAGAGACTGCAATAAATTGTCCCCTTCGGCTAAAACTGCACACATCAAGAAAACAAACGACACAGTCATTACCAAAGTCAACGAGCTTAACTCCTCCTTCTGCTGTCAGGAGAACGTTATTGCCCTTCACGTCTCGGTGGATGATTCGATGGTGGTGTAAATGTTGAAGGCCCTGCACGGTGTTCCAGCACCACAGCAGGACAGAGAGAGAGAGAGAGAGAGAGAGAGAGAGAGAGAGAGAGAGAGAGAGAGAGGTCGGTCAGAGCTGTCAGCAAACCAATTCAACAGTCTCATCAAAGTCCACATGTGTTATACCATCCCCAGATTGAACTCTCATTGTTAAAGTGCAATGAGGAGCCAAGCTATGCACAAATTGTCCCCTCTTAAACTATGGACATTCTTACCAAGAGGGCTCCGTGCAGAATGTAGGAGATCACAGCTTCATCCAGCCTCTGGCCACATCTCAGGAGGCCTTTGACGAGTTCAGTGACAGAGCCCCCGTTACACAGCTGGGACAGGATGTGGGGGACAGAGAGGGAACCAGAGAACCCAAACCAAAAGAAAAGACAAACACTTTTAGAAGAAAAAAATCTACTGATTAATGATTAATTTACAGATCACAAACTCCAGACTAAAATAATTAAATTGCAAATTTCTATTAGACAACCAAAGCAGGTTCTTTGTGTATGTTGTAGTCTTTATTCAAAGTAATGGTTTATGAGTGAACATGCCGATACCAAAGGCTGACTTTTTAATTGCCAAGTCAAACATAAAAGCACAAGTTATTACTTAGAAATTTGAAAGAGAACTCGTATCTGTAACCATGGCAACTACTGACTACTTTTCACTTTATGTGACTATTGTCTGGTTTTGTTTTTGCTTTTTGTTTTTCTTAAACATGCATTTTGAGGATGAAAAAAACTGAAGAGGTAAGACAAATGCCCTTGATACCAAACAAGGGACAAATCTCAATTATTTCAACCCTTCCTGCCTCCCTTGCTGGCTCTGCAAGCATCCAGGGCTTGGCTGGTAACTCAAGCTGTCAGTGTTCACTAGGCTTAGGGTGTGCTTGGCTTTCTCTGGTTCAATTGAGGCATTAGGAGACTTTAAGCCTCTCTTTCTATTCCCCCCTCCTTCCCTCATTCCCTCTCTCCCTCCATCCCTCCCTCTCTCTGTCCATAATTTAAAACATCCTAAGACTTCACCTGAACTCTGTCCTTTATCATATAGTGTGTATCACTGAAGTTTAGTACAGAGAGTAGACCGTCTTACTCATCCAGCAATGTCAGGGTTTTCAGGGATAAACTATACTAATTGTAGAGTCAGTGTGGGTTTGCTACAAGCCTCCTTAAATCAGGGCATTTGTCACTGTTAGAAACACCCTGAATTGTGAGCAGAATGATGTCCATGCACCCTGCCCTTTTCTGGGGAGCAAACTCAGAGCTCTTATCCATGCCCAAAGCCAGCCTTGAGCTTATATAAAAACCCCACTTTAGAGACTTGGGCTCCCTGGGGTGCTTTGAGTGAAATCAGTAAACTAGTGAGTGTGAGGTGCTCTCCTGCTGGAGTGGACCAACTTTCTTACATAATGAAGCCGGAGGAAGGGCAGATCAGCAGCTTGACTAAGGGAGACAACAACAACATAGTAGGACCTAGTCAACTCTAGTTATGAACAACTGCAGCATTTCTAGTAGGGTGAGCATATGTTTCTGTTTGACATGGGTACCATCTCTGCTATACATTTGGCAGATTTTTGTACAGCAACAATCAAATAGCCTGGAATGAAATGCCCATGCTTTTAGCCTTTAAGTTGTGTATAAGTATGTGACTAAAGCTCTAATAGGAAGTCCTTAAAATTAGCACAAAAGTACTATCAAGATATTTTGCAGGGACCCCTAAAGCAATAAAATGTTTAAAGATTATGATGATTCTTTGGGTTTGAGACTATATCTAGTGACGTTGATGTCAACCATCAGCCAATATCTCATGTCCCAGATATTATATTCCAATTCGATCTTCCTATAGTTTAGATGTTGAAAGTTTCCCTAAAGCTTATCCATTTAAAAACTGGCATTATGAGGAGATGCTATGGGCCTTTTGGAAGAAAGGCCTTGTGGGAGGTTTCGGGTCATTGGGGCATACTCCCATACATGCTTCCTGGCCATTAGGTAGGCAGTTTACTCTACCAGAGTTCTGTTGCGATCACCACTCCCACTAGAGGCCCCAAATCACAGGCCTTCCTAACCGTGAACTGGAACCTCTGAACTAAGTCAGGTGTCTTGTCAGTGATGGGAAGACTAGCAGCACTGTCATCCAAAAAAGTTTGTTTCTAGCTGGGTTACAGGACCCCAAAAGGACAAAAAGCATTCCATATTTACCTTTCTGCTCTCTGTGGCTGCAATTAGACTGTTTATCACCTATTGCTCAGTCCTGAGATGACACAGTCTCTGGCCTCAAAGTGCTCTCTGTCCCAGCTCATGGGCACATACATAACTGGGTATGCACTATGGAGGGAAGGTGTGTCCAGGGAAGAGGGAGACCTCTGTTGAGGGAAGAGGAGAGGGGACAGCCTTGCAGACATGGAAGAGCATCTAGGACAAAGGGCTGGGGACACCGTGTGCAAAGAAAGGGAGCATGGAAGGAGAGAGGTGGCCTGTGTACTTGAGCTCTAAATACGCAGCTCTTGGGTCAAAGGGAGGTGGGAGGGGAGGCAGAGAATGGGCATTACCATTCTATACTGTGTCTACTTCAATACATGAGGTGCATGGAGCTAGAGAGAAGCTTTGGGCATGAGGTCTCAGTGCTCAGGGTTACACTCTGGAGAGATCATTTTGGCAGCAGATTGACAGATGAACTGAGGATAACAGCATCAAACATAGGATATTCAGTAGGAAGGTTGGAAACATCCATGGGGGAAAGAGCTAAAGAGATGGCTTAGTTGGTGACCTTAGTTAGGGTCACTATTGCTGTGATGAAACACCATGCCCAAAGCAACTTGGGGAGGAGTCTATTTGTCTTATACTTCAACATCACTGTTCATCATCAGAGGAAGTCATAAGAGGAACTCAAGCAGGCCAGGATCCAGGAGGCAGGAGCTGATGCAGAGGCCATAGAGGAGTGCTGCTTACTGGCTTGCTTCCCCTGGCTTGTGCAGCCTGCTTTCTCATAGAATCCAGGACCACCAGCCCAGGAGTGGCACCACCCACAATAGGTTGGGCCCTCCCCCCACCAATTACTAATTAAGTAAATGCCCTATAGGCTTGTCTACGGCCTGATCTTATAGAGGCATTTTCTCAATTAAGGCTCCCTCCTCTCTCTTGACTCTAGCTTGTGTCAAGTTGACATGAAACTAGCTAGTACAGTTGGTAAAGTTCTGGTCATGCAAGTATGAGGGCTTAGATCTAGGTTCCTATCACCCACACACAAAGCCAGGGAGGCAGTGCATATCTGTGACCCCAGCATTGGGGAGATCAGAGGCAGGTGGATCCCTAGAGCTTTCTGGCCAGGTAATCATCCTGAACTGGTGAGCTCTGAGTTCAGTGAGAGACCCTGTCTCAAAGAATAAGATGAAGAGCTACTGAGAAAGCTATTGACTTCTAACTTCCAAACATATGTACACACACATGAACTGATGTGCACATGTACACCATATACACAAACAACAATCACCAAGGGAGGCGGGGCCCCAAGTCAAGTCATGAGGTGCTTATGAAATAGAGGCAAAGAGAGTTTCTGAGTATCTTGATGTGAAAAGTGAAGGCAAGTCTACAGATACAAGGAGCTGAAAGAAAGTACCAGTGAAGCTCTCTGCTCCTCTGGATGCAAGTCATGATGCAGCTCCTTCAGGACTCCTCCCCAGCTGGGCTCCCATCTCAGGGAGAAATGCACTTTCTGCTCTTGAAGAGGCGTGCTGAAATCCTACCAAGAGGACATTTCCATGCTGGGTGTTGACCCAAGCTAATGCAATGCTGGAAATGCCCCCTGGAGACTCTTGGTAGTCTCTTTCTGAGTGTGACCAACTGTGTGACAAGGGCTTTTTCAGCACGTTTTACTTAGGCAGCAAACTTGGAACCTTTCTTTATCGCTTCAGAACTTAGGAAGGGATTAAAAGTAGTTATTTGTCAGCAGGATCAAAATTTAGCTGTGAATTTAGAAAAACAAAGCAAAACACAAAGAGCTCTTACTCAGCCGGTGCCTTTTGTTGAGTAAATGTCAGAGTTAAGAGCTGTCTGACTTTCCAGAATTCACAGAAATGTAATTAAACCATTCAGGGTACATTAAAAGAAGCTGCCCTGTGAAGTTGACAAGTCCCCTAGCAAGGCTTTGAAAGGGCAGCCTGCGGGTTACAGAAAAAGACTGTGGTAACTTAGATATAAAATAAGAAAAGGCAGCTACACACTGACAATTGTCTAGAGTGAAATGGGCTGAGCCTTTTAAAAGCAAAACAAGAACTTATATTCAAACTCATCAAATAAAATAATCTCCTTAGAGATGTCAAAAGGCACACAAGCCTCCTGCCCCAGCCCTGAGGGTTGGCATGAAGCCCATCCTCCCTGCTGTCTCTGTCAGCCATCAGATTCAAATACAGAGGTGTGTCTCCACTCAACAGTTCCTCCCTATGCCCTCAGCATTCAGGAAGATGAGGCTGCTGGATGCACCTAGAATGTAATAAGCATTTTGCTCCAAACTAAGAAAAATAGAAAAAAGAATTTACATTACACATCTCATTTTCAAAACATTATTGAATATTGACTCAATCACAGTGTGTACATTCATCAGGACAGCCATAACTTCAAGCAACAAAATGTTCCTTGCTCAATAAGCCATCAACTTTCCTCTGTGTTATTAAGGAGTGGTCCAGGCAACACAGTTGCCCGACCTCTGTTCTAGCCTCAGCTCCAACAGTCAATTATCTCCTGTAGCGGTGTATTGATTTGACTCAGTGAGATGGCAGAGCTAAGAAGACTTCTTTCAGTGCCTTGTGATCAGTAGACTGTCAAGGTCTTTCAAGGATGTGAGGTTCTACAAAGAGCATAAAACAGAGTCACCTGAGGAGATGCCATAGGAAGCATCCTGTCTGCTCCAGTTGGGACAGATAATCTTTATTTTTCTGAATACTAGATCAAGTCTCCAACTTGCAACTACACAAATGAACACCATGTCTCTTGGGACCCAGGAGCTCCATTTTCTAACAGGAAGATGGTCACTCCCTGAGAGATGTTTGGACTAGAGGCTTCCAGCTCCCATCTCAGTCTTCCCTGGGTGTGTGAGTGTGGTGGTGGGCAGGATCACTCCCAACAGCTGTTGCTTGATTCTCTTGTCCTGAACACAGATAGCATGAGCCTATACATGCTGCTCTTCCCTTTTGCTGTCCTTCATCTGACTGTAGCATTCCATCATTGCACTCTAGACCCTCTAGAGCAGTCAAGCCCTCCTACCAACTCTTCTTCTCCTCCAGCATCCTGCCTACGCCCCTATCTTCAACATGATAGACATCATTCATGCCGCAATGTCAATGGGTGAAAATGGCGTGCTGTTCGATACTTACAGTGACATTTGGGACTACACTGGACTTCTAGCAAGATTTCAATAGAGTATATGTTCCCCCAACTTTCCTTCCTCCTCTCCTCCTCCCTCCCTTTCTTCTTCCCCACTCTTGCTTTAGCTCTGCAGAGTGAATTTACACTTTGATCTTTAGTCAGGGTAGAAGAAGAGATTATTATTAAAGCCAATTATTTCACTTAATTTAAAAGCAATGCTTTTTCTTTCTTTCACTTTGATTTTTTTTCTTTATAGCTTTTTCATGGCACTCTAGACTATTTTTCAGAAATTGTGCATTTGATCATGCTGAAATGATTGGTTTCTACCTGTCAAGATTTTTGTTCTAAAAAGAGAAAAAGGAAGTTGCCTCAGTACATATTAGATACTATTTCCAAATAGTGGATGTCACTCAAAGGTCTAATTTTGTATTACATCTTATTTGGGTAAGATGTTTTTTTTTTTCATTTAATACATACTTAAAACAAAGGCACACTGTCCAACACATCATGCACAAGTGTATCCTCTACATGCCCTCCATGTGTCTACCAAGAAGGGAGCTTTGTTTACCTCTAACTAACAAAACGGTAATAAGCTGCAGAGCTGGCATTTTTATTTGCTTTTGTTTTTGGAGTTGTGGTGATTTGAGGAGCTTATTAATAACCTTTCTCTACCCTCTAAAACAACCCCATGGAATGGCTGCCCCCTGGCTCCCTCATTGCATCCAGCAGGAGAAGAGCAAAAGCAATATAAACTTAATCTCAGTGCAATGGATGAGAAAAACAACTCTGAACACATCACAATTTCATTGTGAGTCTCCTAAAGCAGCCCTTTAAAAGCCACAGGTAGAGTAGAACCATGGGGGCACCCTGTGGCCTGCCATCATCCAGCTCTGTGGTAGGCAAGAGTACTGCCATGCCAGTCAGTGTCCCCAAAGACCAAGTGCTAAGAGGGCTGACCACCAGCACATGGTGCTTTGGGGAGGCAGTGTGTAAGGCTCCGTGGGAGGAAGTGAAGTCATTGGGGTGATGCTGGCCTCTTTTCCCCTCCGATTTGCTTCCAGGCCACCATGAGGTAAACCATTTCCTCTTCAGTCTGTGCCCATCATGATGCACTAATTTTTCACAGGCCCAAAAGCCATGGGATAATAGGCCTTTCCCTTTTAAAGTGGATTTGTTCCAGGTGTTTTGGTATATAGTAAAGGAGAGATGACTGACACACATAGTTCAAGCCATGTGATTCAGGTTGTTCCCCCTCTGGTCCTCTGGCCATCTGTGGCCAGAGGAGACTAAAACTAAAGAAAACAGTAACTCCTGCTACTGTCAGAAGTCCAGTAATCCTTGTGTTTCTGAGACTTGTGGAGGCACTGGACACATCCAGCTTCCCAGCTGCCTGCTAAAAACAGCCCATGCTGTGACACAGAAGGTAGCATCCAACACCACCAGCTTTGACAAAACCACTAGCAAATTGCACGCTGAGAGATAAGTCAGTGTCTCTGAGGGGCCTCGTTACCTGCCCCTGGTCAATGGGGAAAACTAAGAGGATATTTGGCCAGGAGCCATCAGCACATGGCTCAGATCACAGCCTGACTCCTCCTCATTGTTCACAGCTTCCCTAGCTGCGTTGG